GATAAGCTACTTGGTTGGCCTTTGGCATCATCTTACTTAGAAATAACATGAATATCCAGTGCCCATTCCTCAATGCACTTAATCAATTTTAAATTTCGCAATATGAAGTAGTGGTTCACCAATTGATTGCGTCGTGTCAACTGCGAATTTTAAAATAAAATTGGGGGAGGGGGTGGGGAGGGAGACTTTGATGCTTCAATTGTATAATTCCAGTTTCTATTCTATTGTTTTGCCTTTTCTCAATCTTCAACTTCTTCCCGTGTTCAGGTATCTTTCCTCAATGGAATTTTGTATATATATATATATATATATATATATATATTCAAAACATGAATCTACGTTTTTTTTGTCTAAAAGTCATTTCCTCCTTTTGCAGTCCTCTTTGTTCATTTTAGCGCCCTTGGATAACGTAAAGGAGTTAACCGACGAGGAGCCCATGGATACCAGTGATGCCGGACCAGTTACACGCCAGCGAAAGTCAACCTCTGATGCAGTAAGTTCCAGCTCTTAACACACTTTTATCATTAATATTTTTTGTCATCTTCCTTGTCATATCACGTCATATCCTTGAACCTGAATTAAAGATTAAGATAGAGCCTGCCTCCAAGCCAAGCCCCCACTACCTGCGCTCAAACACCGAGCCGCTCAACGTCTATACCTCATTACGAGCCAATTTGAGGCCTGTTGTGAGCAGCAACGTTGTCACTAGTGTAAAATGCCCTGCTCCTTTACCATCTTCACGTTCATCCACGCGCAGCGTTCGACAGATTTTTTCCCAACCCTCGGGTAATCGCTCGCACAGAGGCTCTAGATATTAGTGTTTACCCCACATGTTGCATGGTCTAGAATATTCAAATGCATGAGCAGGCAGGCAAGCTTGAATTGAACCAAACTAGTTTTGTTCTGTTTCTTTTTTTTAATGTTGTTTTAGCCATACTACCCGTTTCCTCATCTACGCAAGACGAAAGTATCTGTTTATGTAGGTATAGAGCCGAAAATTCTTCTCTCATTATTGCTAATTCCTCTCTGATAACCCTGTTGACAACGCAAATATATATATGCAAAATGCACCCCACTCACTCATCCATTCACTAACAATTAGGAGATGTTGGCTAGCCTGTGTTCATCTTCTTTCGGCTGATTAAATTAATCCGAGTTTCACTTCTCCTGTCTTGGGTTTATGCTATTCTTCATCGTTTGCTGTTTTAACCCCCTGCTGTTAAACCCCCTTGTTGTTGGAAATGTTCAGTGTTTACATGACAAAATATGATGCGTCTATCAAGCTCTATCCCACAGCACTTGTCATAACGTGAAGTGTACTACTTAAGACAATGCCAGTTTGAAAATAAAGTAAATGGAATGTTTTCTACTCTTCTTTAAGCTCATTATCCTCATTATGATTAATTACTACACGCACGCACACCACAGTATTGCTGTCAATGTGAAAAAAAGAAAGTTAAATGGAATTTAAGTGCCTAATCTTGACGAAATTAATACCTTACTTTACATTTTATTTCCCCTTCTTAGTGTAAATAACGCTTATCATCTATTTTTTACCTTGTGAACTATTGTGAATTTCACGATGCTTATTATAATTTGGGTTGATATTTAACAAGTTTTCGGCGTAGAAATGAGAGTTTATGTTTACCTTCTACGCTTGGTTGCCGATTTCTAGCTTGTAAAAAAATTTCGGATCCATTTTTTGAACGGATAAAAGGCCAAGATATTAGCTTGCCGCCATTCTAGGAAGAAGTGTTTTCATTTTTTGGTTTTGATTTGTCGTACATAAGTGGGTTAACTAGTCCAAAATGTCCCTACATTTTAATTTGATGATTACCTTTTTTCTGATTTTTTAAGGTTGGTCATTATACGTTTTGCTATTAGATCAAGTCTTCACATCTTTTAAACGGAACTATTGGAGTCTTGTTTAATTTCACAATTTCTGGCAATTTTTCTTGAATCATCTTGGAAGGTGAATAACCTTCATTAATTTAACCGTGTGTGTGTTTGTATGTGCTCGAAGATGTCAATCTTTTACATCTTATAGTTTCAAAATATGTGTCTGGTGCAATTCCGATGGTCTTATTTGTAAATCCCAGTCTCTGCTCATAAAGGAGCACTTATTTTATAGACTTTATGTAAGATGCTTATTGGCGTCTTAAGCACATCGAATTTACGTCTCACCTATGCTTTTGCGGTTGGCTAAATTGCTGAGGGCCAAGTCGATTTGGAGGTACTGAGCTAACGTTCTCGCTGATTTTGAATCAGACGGACATTTCTTTAATGCACTTGGTCGCATCATGAAGGCTTATGTCTCCCGCCTTGACCTTTAAGTTTACCTATTAGACCTCATCTTGACATTCGAAAGCGCTTGAAATTGCATTTTAGGTAGACCTCGTCACTCTTTTGCACTACCCTGTAATCTCGCATTATCTATAAGGATCTTGCATTGCTCTGATTCCACCCCCCCCCCCCCCCCCCCCCCCCCCCCCCTATACCCTCTCTCAACTCACTTTGGTGCTTCGTGTTTTATTTACTTCGGCTACTTTGCAATCCGAATTAGTATGTTCACTGCCTGATCTAATATGGTTGGCTTAGTCTTCATTTCCGTGTTGTTGGAAATTTTGCATGGAAAAAGGTTATGATCGAACCGCTCCTTTCTAAATCCATTTATACTTTATCAACGATGTTCCTCTAAAATCCTCTAACCTCTCATAAATTCCAAGCTATTTCGCCTCTCATTTTAGGCATCTAAATGCCATAGTGACCCGAATTTGTGCCTTTTTAATATGATCCTTTATTGATCCTATTTCGGAAAAAATGCTTGTTATATTTTTTTATTGCCAATTTCCAGTTTCTCCTTGACGATTGTCTAAAATTGGTGCTTTTTTTCAAAATTGCACATATATGAGCTTTTAAAGGGTTTAAAAGACACTTTCCTAAGGTATGATAACCTGATACTAAAGTGGATTTCTCGATATATTTGCATTTATTGCGGCCTGTAGTTGAGTAGAGTAAAACATGTGACTAGTCAATATCTCGATAACCTCTTGTTTCTTTTTTTCAAACAAACGACCTCTTTATGCGTTTTACTCTGTTTATTAAATTGAAATTCAACTTCACTTTCCTTAAAATAGCCTCGTGAATCCCAATGCAAGTTTACTTGTTACTATATTCCTGTATTTTATCCCTCCTGAGCATTGATTAGCTCGTTGTTTGCCTTAGATTCATAATTGCCCCGCATTCGTTTTTTTTCGCATTGGTGATTGCGTCTTTGCCTTGAAATTCAAATGCTTTTACTGAAGTATTTATGCTTCTATGGGAGGATCTTACTACTTTATTACCTCGCATGAAGGCTCATTGTCATCTAATGATTTAGTACCTTTCGTGATAACGCCTCCTGGTTTCTACTTCCTGACTTTTTTATCGAAATGTTCTGGTTCGTCCTTGGAACAATTAACTTTTGGAGAGAGGTTACGATTGTTAAGTCTCACATTTTATTATTTTTTTCATTTCTTAAAGAAATGTCCACAGCCTTTCTCCTAATTTTGGTAAAATTTCTTCTTATCTTGAGATCTTGGTCATTGAGCCATTATTCCTATTCTTGGATTGGTATCCCTCGGCACTGCGCTTTTATGTATTATTTTTCTTCAACCTATAAATTCATTGCTTTGCCTTGACACTCATCCCATTAAGCAGCTCTCTTAATGAAATTTTTCATCATCATCGCATACTTCCATCAATCGCACTCGGTAATTAAGCTCATGACTGTTGAGCTGAATCGACTTTACTATTTCCTGCGTCGCATCTATTTGGGACTTAAGTGCCGAATTATTTTATTTAATTCCTTAATATGTTTCTTTATCGCATCCAATATCGTTAATCTGGAGATAGTTGCATCCCTCTCTGTTTTTATCCTGTCTCAGACTGAAGATCAACTGCCCCCATTGCCGCCTAAAGTATCTCTATCTTCGAAAGCCGGTAAGTAAGACTCTGCCGAACCTCTGTTGTATTTCACAATATATTTCCGTGTTCTCTAATTTCCCATTTATTCCGGTGTTTCTACTGTTTAGACAACAGTGCTCTGTGTTTTCATTGTTGCATGCAAATAAAAATTGAAAAGCTTTACAATTCGGTGATTTTGCTACCGAATCGGGTGTGCGGGTTTAACGACGAATAGACATTCTGCAGAATGAGCTTGTTGAGGATCGTCTCTTCACTCTTTAAGGGGATGACGAATTTCCCCGCTACTTATATCCGGTTCTATAGCACATTTCTTGCTTCTGCGGTTTCATATTTTTTTAGAATGGTCAAGTGCCGAATCAGCGTTCATTCTTACTTTCTGATAGGAAGTGTCTCGACTAGACTTCTCTTACTAGACTTTAAGTAATATAGGAAGCTAGACATTGAACGTCTGTGCTGGTCATTATACCCAAGTGGCAGGGATCACGTGGAGAGTGCAAGTAGACGATGTCTTTTCCCTCAGAGGACATCTAGGATGGGTGTTGGATTTGATCTGTTACCTTTCTTCGGTCGTTCGAGAGGCTTCTTTTTCTGAAATTTATACTCTTACCGAGATTTCTGGTTTTTTTATTTATAGTTTGGATGATGCCAATTGTGATTTAATTATGTTGGTTTTCAAGTTTCACCGATATAGGTTTTTTTTAGAAATTTATTAAGCGAGTTTTAGGCTACTTGCTATTTTGCAATATAACGAATTCTTACTATGACTTCTCTCCATTACGTCAATCTTGTTGGCCTAAACGCAGACGTTTTGCATCTCGTAGATCCTTTCTAAGTTACCTCTGTTGTTATTTCACTATTTGACTCACCTGATCTCTAAGTATTTAAGTCGCGGACTGCTAGTCATGAAATGTTTTGTTTCGTTATTTTTTATGTGAGAAAAAGTGCTTAAGTGGTGCAACTTTGTTGATACTAATTCTTCCCTGGTGTATTCATCTCAAGGTAACTATGAAAAATCTTAGTTACGTCTTGCGTTTCCAATTCAAACGTGTCAGTATCATCAGGCCTATCATCTGTCGGTCGTGATTTCCATGAGCACAATTTCATATTAATCATGTTCCATTTTTGTTTTCCACCTCTAAAAGTCTATTTTCCCTGCGCAATCGTAGAGCAACTCATTGTTTCAATTCGAAACCATTTTTCAACTTCCTTTGATATTTAGGCAGAAAACCAGTTCTTGAATTTATCTAGAAATTTCTTTGTTGGCGCTTTGACGCACTGCGGAGGTTTTCATTTTATCCTCAGTCCCTTAGTGTTTTCCATTCGGCCATCAATCGAACTTTTTGTCCTAGTTAAAGTACAATAAAAGCTTCTAAAATGCTCTTTTTCAAGTTATTTTCTTTAGTTAATATTCTGAGGTTTCGATTTTATCATCTCAATTGTAAAATGTGCTCATTAAAAAGCTTGTATATAAATGTGCTTGATGAATATAAGATCGCTTTGTGGCTTTCAATACCTGTTCTTTCCGTGCATTAATTGATATGCATATTGAACTTTATTTGTGCTTCGCTTATCACGCATTTAATAAACCGATTCTTTTTCGCAATTTATAAAGTGCGAAAATTTGACGATTCCATTCTCCTAGCTAAAATGTGATAATTAGAAATTAACTGTGAAATTCCATAGTTGTGTGCTTTCAGTTCTTTTCTGTAGTCACAGTGCACTTTAGGGGGGGGGGAGGTCATCGTTATTTGGTATTAAATCTGGGTCGCATCTACTAGGCCTTAAGAGGCTTTTGCCTCGTCTTTACTGTCTTCTTGAGAATTGCTTCAAACCCAGTCACGGACTGTCAGTT